TTATTTTTTTTAAAAGTGCGTTGGTTATTATGGATTTTTATTTGGCCTTTATTGTGGCTGAAAAAATAAGATTTTAGAAGAAAGAAGACATCAAATGGTAAGTCTATTTTTTTTTTTTAACAAGTATTTCGATAAGGGTCCCCCCTCATTATTTTTAGGATGAGGGGTGTAGGTTGGGGTAATTTGTTTGGGGGAAGAGGGTGACTACGGGTTTGGGGACCCCTAGTCACCTGGGGGGGTACATTTTTATTTAGGGCCCCCACCTGCCGCTCAGGAGTAGAGGCCGGGGGGAGGACATTAGGTCCACCCCCCCCTTATTATTATTTAGGTCCACACCCGCCGCGCAGGGGTGGGGGCCTGGGGGGAGGACATTAGGTCCCCCCTTATTATTATTTAGGGCCCCCATCCGCCGCGCAGGGGTGGGGGCCGGGGGGAGGACATTAGGTCCCTCCCTTATTGTTGTTTAGGGCCCCCACCCGCCGTGCAGGGGTGGAGGCCAGGGGAGGACATTAGGTCCCCCCCTTATTGTTATTTAGGGCCCCCACCCGCTGTGCAGGGGTGGGGGCCGGGGGGGTGGACATTAGGTGTCCCCCTTATTGTTATTTATGGCTCCCACCCACCGCTCAGGGGTGGGAGCCAGGGGGGAGGACAGTAGGTCCCTCCCTTATTGTTATTTAGGGCCCCCACCCGCCGTGCAGGGGTGGAGGCCAGGGGAGGACATTAGGTCCCCCCCTTATTGTTATTTAGGGCCCCCACCCGCTGCTCAGGGGTGGGAGCCAGGGGGGAGGACAGTAGGTCCCCCCTCCACATTTTTTTTAGGGCCCCCACCCATTGCACAGGGGTGGGGGCAATAGGTTTTTTTGGGGGGGGTTTTACAGTGAGCAGCCACAGGCTGCTCACTGTTTACGATACACACCCCTACTTGCGGTATAGCGAGTAGGGGCTGAATTTACTAATACTAAGTAATCTTAGTATTAGTAAATGTGGATGAAAGACCAATTTAGGTCTTTCAGCCTTTTGGTAGATAGCTCCCTAATACCATGGGAATTAGAGAGTTATCTACTAAGCGGCTGCTTATTTTATGTATTTTATGTTATTTTAAGTGATTTCCCTATCCACTTTTGTTTGCAGGGCACTTGTCCTACTCTTACCCCCATTTTACTTCCTTTTGCAGCCCTCTAGCCCTTTCCAGTAGTTTTTTAGAGCCATTTTTGTGCCCAAAAGTTCCGGTCCCCATGGATTTCCAGGTGTCCGCTCAACTCTAGTTCCCACATCTTGTGGACTATGGAATGAGAAGGTTAATGGAGAAACCTGGGGTGTTCTGTGGTATAATTGAATGCTATAAATAGCTCTGAATACGTTCTGTATCAAGCTAAACATGTGCATGATAAAACTATTTTTAAAAAAGCTTTCCAAGTGTTAATTTTCATTCCTGTCTATGAGCCATTTATTAGAGTTGAGCGAACCCGAACTGGAAAAGGCTGCAGGCATCCAATCAATAAGCGTTTGACTTGTGTGCCCTTAGAAGCCATTACAGCCATGCTTACTAATGGCATGGCTGTGATTGGCCAGTGCAGCATGTGACCCAGCCTCCATATATAAGCTGGAGTTGTGTAGCGCCGCACGCACATGAGCTCTTATTAGTGTAGGGAGAGGATGCTGCCACTGATAGGGACAGCTTAGGAAATAATTTAGCAAACTAGTACATTAGTGGGGTGGGGTGCACTTCATATCTGAGAGTCAAATAGAATCATCAAATAGTGCGCTTACTGCGCAGTTGTAAAAATTCTTATTTTCTGCGTGCTAATCTGCTAACTAGTACATTTTGGGGCCTGCTCTTCATATCTGAGAGTCAAATAGAGGCGTCTAATAGTGCGCTTGATGCGCAGTTGTAAATTTTTTTTATTGTTTTGCTCCTAATCTGCTAAATAGTATGTGACGAGACCAATCTCGTACATTGGAGGAGCAGGGTTGCCTGTCTGCTCACTTGTAACTATGGACCGGCAGTTAAACAGTCTATTTTACTGTGCAGAAAGGCTCATTCATGCCTTTCTGCACAGCTGTTCGGTAGATTCCCAGGAGCCGGTGGGAGCCGGTGGGCGCTATTAATTGGCCATCCAGAAGCTGGCGTGCGCCGCAAATCGACCTCCCGGAAGCCGCGGTTAACTTAATTGACTATTACTGGGTGGCCGCGGTTACACTTAGCGGCCACTAGGTGGCGGTGTTATGGAGCTCCCTGGACGGCCAGCGGTGCTCAGCCCGGAATCAGTGCACTAAAAGCGGACACTTTTTACGTGCAGGCACTGCTGAGCCTCCAGCCTTCCCTGCTTCTATTCGTGGCTATTTAACCGAACACCTGATCATTCGGGACTTTGTTTTATGTGAATGCTTTAACCAAGGTATCACAGCCATGGAGCCTATTCATGTTATTAAAGACTTTGGCTCCATGGAAATTGAACTGTGTGTATAGGATCTGAGCGCTATTCGGTACAATTGTGCGCTCACATCCCAGCTATCTGGGGGTGAGTTACATGTATATATTTTATGTGATAAATGTAACATTATGTATTTTATTGTATTTTAGTGTTTTATTGTAACCACGTGTGTAATGGCGATTTGCCTCTGTCCTGGGAGATAATTGGATTACTTCCCAAATATCTCCAGGATAGAGGGGAGGGAATTAGGATGCATTGTGGGGATGTTTTACATCTGTGTGTCTGTCATTGGTGCATGTCTGTCCCTTGTCACAGTCTCCCATTTGGTCCCCTAGGGGAGTGTCCACCAGGTGGGAGACCTGCATAAATACTAGGCAGGTAGTCCTGAATAAACCAGTTCACTGCTTGACCCTCAACACGGAGCTTTCTCTCGTTCTTGGAGGGATTTACTGTATGTTGTTAGAGACTGATTGCCAGGAGTGTAAGCTGCTTGGGTGCTTTTCCTGTTCAGCTGCTAGCAGCTATTCGTGAGGTTCCAGTTCGGAGTTTGGAGTGCTACTTTGTATCCTGTTTGGGGTTCTGCGGTAGCTGTGCCTGTGTCTCTGGAAGGGGAAGATCTTCTAAACGGCGGTTTAATCCCTTTTATGCCTGGGGGTGCCGTTACATTGTACATTTTGGGGGTGCTCTTCATATCTGAAAGTCAAATAGAAGCATCTAATAGTGCGCTTACTGCGCAGTTGTAAAAATTCTAATGGTTTTGCTGCTAATCTGCTAAATAGTACATTTTGGGTGTGCACTTCATATCTGAGAGTCAAATAGAAGCGTCTAATAGTGCTCTTACTGCGCAGTTGTAAAAATTCTAATGGTTTTGCTGCTAATCTGCTAAATAGTAAATTGGCCGCCTGCCCTTCATATCTGTGAGTCAAATAAAAGTGTCTAATAGTGCGCTTACGGCGCAGTTGTAAAAATTCTAATGGTTTTGCTGCTAATCTGCTAAATAGTACATTTTGGGGCCTGCTCTTCATATCTGAGAGTCAAATCGAAGCGTCTAATAGTGCGCTTAGAGCACTCTTGTAAACATTCTAATTGTTTTGCTGCTAATTTGCTAAATAGTACATTTGCAGCCTGCACTTCATATCTGAGTCAAATAGAAGCATCTAATAGTGCGCTTACTGCGCAGTTTTAAAAATTCTAATTGTTTTGCTGCTAATCTTCTAAATAGTACATTTGCGGCCTGCCCTTTATATCTGAGAGTCAAATAGAAGCGCGTCTAATAGTGCGCTTACTGCCCAGTTGTAAAAATTCTAATTGTTTTGATGCTAAACTGCTAAATAGTACATTTGCAGCCTGCACTTCATACCTGAGAGTCAAATAGAAGCATCTAATAATGCGCTTACTGCGCAGTTATAATAATTCTAATTGTTTTGCTGCTAATCTGCTAAATAGTACATTTTGGGGCCTGCTCTTATCTGAGAGTCAAATCGAGGCGTAACTTTGATTCGAATTTACTACATCGGTCACTTGTAATATTGTTTTACACCTACAACACTTGTTACACAGATCTAAGTGATAGAAAACAGATTGATATTTTCTACACTAGAAACTACCAGATAACAAGCTGCTATATTTTAAACAGTTATCAATAGCTAAGAGGTGCTTAAACAATATTGTAATTCTTAGGCAATACCCTCACAAGTCAAACTGATAGGTCAGTTTATAGGGAAAACTGTTGCCTGTATACAATTCTAAAACAATTTCCATATGACTTTACATGCTGGAAAAACACAAGTGCCAACTGCTGTGGCTTTCTGCAGTGTGCATACCGGCAAGGAGGGTAGGGTTGAGGAGTGGGTGGAAGATGATGTGGAGGATGATGAGGTCCTAGACCCCACATGGAATCAAGGTCATGCGAGTGACGTGCGAAGTTTGGAGGAAGAATCGCTGGTCACACAGAGGCACCAGCTCAGCATAAAAGGGAGCAGGGTGCAAAAGCGGAGCGGCCGCGCCCTAGCACTTGTCGGCATGTATTAGCTCCAGAATTACCAGTTATTCAAGTAATACATGTAGTGATCAAAGGATCCATAATAGAGTTGAGCGAACCCGAACTGCAAAGTTCGGGCTCGTACCAGATTTAACGATCCATTTGTAATTTCACAGTCAGGTGGGCAGTCCAGTTACCAGGACCCAGACACTGACTGGGCAGCGGTCGGACGACCGGGACTCAGTATGCCTGATGTTGAAGTCAGGAGTCACAGTGTGGAATGGATTAGCAGGGTCTGGTGCAGGGTAACCGCACACCCCCTGGTGTTGAGCACCAGCGTTTGTACAGCCACATACCAGGACCCTGATGCAGCTTCAGTAAAAAGAGTACTGGATACCAGAAGCCATCACCAGACTGATCCGCAAATTGGAACAGGATGTGACATTCACTGTAGCGGCTGTGCGCGCTTTCTGCGTTCTCACCCTGCTGCTGCTAGCCTGTCTGCGCTGCAGCATAAGTTTGGCCTTCCCGCTCACTGCCTCATATGCGACGTGCCCACAAGGTAGAACTCCACCTTGCACATGCTGGAGAGACTGTGTGAGCAGCAGCAAGCGATAGTGGAGTTTCAGCTGTAGCACCCACGGGTCAGTGGCTCTGCACCAGACTTCCCTCCAATTGATCAGAGTTAAAGGATTTCAAGTGGACTCATTACAATTACAGGGCCTCTAAAGAGTCCTGTATTGTTATTTGTGGTCACTACCTTCCCGCATCAGGGGTGGGTCATTTGCGCACCTGCTGCCTTCCTTGCATGTGATAGCCATTTCTCAGAGTCCCTGTACGGAATGGAACCCTGATTTCCTGTTACCCGAGGTCACCATGGTAGGCGCAGAAACTGGCATCGAAAGTTGATATGGATGACATCCGAATGCAAAGTCGCCGGGATGTGCGATTGGCCCGAGGTTCTCTAGAGTCAACAGCTACTCTGCGGAACAGAGTTTGTCTTTTTTTATATTTCCCAATATTTTGGTGGCTACCCCAATAAAAAAAATAAAAAATAAAAATATATATATATATATATATATATATATATATATATATATATATATATATATATATATATATATATATATATATATATATATATATATATATATATATATATATACATACACACACAACAGTGTTGGCTACCTCCTCCACCGCTGCTTCCACCTACACCGCCTCCTCAACCTATGGGTCACTTAGTATAAACTATATACTAAATAGCAGAGGCTTGTGAAGGCCTTTTCTCCATGCATCAGGAGTTGAGCTCAGTTTGAACAATGAAAGAATACCCTGCACTCCAACCCTCTCTCAAATGGATATTTCTGGTGATCTTCCTGATTAGATTTTGATTTATGCTCTTCCAAAGCTAAAATCAAAGATTCCATCTAGTGCTATTTTATGGCTCAGCTGTATTTTTACTTTTTATGTTATTTTAAGTGCTTTCTCTATCCACATTTGTTTGCAGGGCACTTGTCCTACTCTTACCCACATTTTACTTCCTTTTGCAGCCCTCTAGCTCTTTCCAGGAGTTTTTAAGAGACATTTTTGTGCCCAAAAGTTCGGGTCCACATTGACTTCAATGGGGTTCGGGGTCAAGTTCGAGCAGGAACCCGCCGGACCCGAACATCCAGGTGTCCGCTCAACTCTACCATTTATCTGAATATTTTAACACATTTATGGTTACTTAGTTTGCTGGATGTATCAGACTAACTGGCTTACAATGTAGTTTGATCAGGGTTATTCATGTGTTAATGGTCAGGATTTCAAAGTGAATTAAAATACATTTTGAAATTTAGGTCAACATAGCTGAATGGAAAACATTCCAGACAAAACTGAATGCACTTGAATTTCTGACAATTCACCATCTTGTATATACCTTTCACTATTTTATATGGAATGAACACAAATATAGCTTATCTCTGAACATTCATTTCTTTGTCCTTATATCTACTGTATCCTTTATTAGATAGTACAGATATATGTAAATAAACGTTTGACTAGATTGTAAATATTTTACAGAGTACAGCTCATTCAGTAATAACTACTGGCAAAATATAATTTTTCCTTTATATAAGAAATATACAAATAGGAATTTGATTTACATAAAATATAAATACAAAAGCGCAAATAGTACTAAAAGATAGGGATATATAATAAAACTATAAATTATTATTAGCTGCTAAACACATAAAAGTTTATTCCTAAAATCTTATAAACAAATAGTGAAAAGAAAGTATAAGCGCTTAATAGATCAGTCCCACAGTGAATTCTGCTGGGTTCTAATATCAAAATAACAATATTGTGCAGAACGAATGGGTACATATACACCTCCCAGTGGTGTATAGGATATAATTCAAGTATAGGAATTTAACAAATGAGCACAGGTAATAAATTATGATTAAAACATTTTTTTAAATTTATTATGCTTAAAAAAAGAGCTAGTAAATAGCTACTAGCACAGTAAAAACAAATGATTATGAAATTCAATAATCACTAATAAACGCAACAAAGTCAGTGATGCTGAGAAAGTAAAGTGTTCCTGTGGAAATTTATTACCACTCCTTCATGGTAGTCGGAGGCCGCAGCGCTGGATAATATCCTTGGAACGTAATGGTAAAGATGCTTGATCCTGTGTCCAGGTAGGTACTTTTGTGTGCAGATGGATCCGTTTAATGCCAGAATCCTAGCCATGGTGAAAGTTCCTTCGACCAAGTTAGCAACTGTAGTATACACTGTAAATGAATCGCTGAAACTTTGTTGCAATGTAAGCCTGATATTCACTTCAACGCGTTTTACCGGATCTCTGCGGGCTTTTTCAAAATAGAGAGATAATGGTTCATCATGGTCTTTTATATCCATTGGATTTCATTTGAAAATTGTTGATCTCTTAATGGTGTAGTTTGTTTTCTGCTGGGGCAGAACTTTTCATGTGCTTTACTTCAGTGTTGCACATTTGATATTTTCTAAAACTGTTTAAGTTTATAAAGTTTTGGTGCAATGTCCTTGTAATGATAAACATGATATTGTTTGTTCTCTAGTACTTTTAAGTACCCAATTTGATAATCATATCAATTATAAACTTTATAAGGAATATGCATTCAATTCATATATTTTATACAGAGATGACAAAATTAAAAACATAGTTGAAATATTGTGGTGTTGCAAATTAATTAACATATATATTGTATACACAAGGTTTTTGTATACACAAATGTACACTTAATATTTTATTTGGATCAGTGCTTCTAAAGGTAGATTTTGTTAATTAAAAAAGTCTTAAAAAATATTATGTTCTGAAACGACAGAATAAAAAACAGAATAAAAAGTGTAAAAATTATGGTATAGTAAAATATGTAAAATCTTTAGAATCTATAAGGGGCTGTCACAGTAATAATCTAGTGCAATGTGCCTAAAATAAGTCATAAAATGTTACTTAATTCTAGTTCAGCATTAAGACCGAACGGGACAAGAGTTTTGAGATTAAAAATCCAGAATGTCTTTTGCTTAGTTAATATTTTAGTTAGGTCACCCCCTCTCTAAGGTAATTGAATTAATTGGATGCCACAATATTTTAAGGTCTTGGGATTACTGTCATGGCATTCTAAAAAGTGCTTGGATAAAGTGTGATTTAAAAAAAAAATCTTTTTATATTGTATATGTTCTCTGAGTCTTAATTTTACATTTAATTTATATTGTTATATTTTGGGGCCAGTGTGGCTATTTAGAAGAGCTTTTTATGCCATAGTTTGTACTGATTTAGTAGAAATCAAAGGTTTGTTTTTCTTATTAAAATCTAGATATGTTTTTGAGCATGCTCTTTACACCAAATCAATAAAATTGATATATAGTTTGCCGCTGCTATCATAGTAGAATAATAAATGTAGAAAAGAAAAGCTAGGAATCATAGACATATGAAAAAAGGGAATAAAATTACATTACAAAAACAGAAAAGTGACAACTTTCTATTGTGAAGTCCAAGTATATATGTAAGTTTATAACACGTTCCAAAGTTTACTTTTATCTATTCTGGAAGTGTGTGTTTTATAGCACACTTGGGACTCCAATTAGTTTCTTCTTATCTGTCCATTTCTGGTCACAATTACAATTTAACCTGGGACTAGAGACAGTAACAGATAGTGAGAATGCAGGTTGGATTTGAAAAGGAGGAGCTGTTGTATTCTATTCCTCCATGTAAATTAACTAACTCATTCATTACCAATATTCAGATTAATCTGCTAGATGGCAGTGAAACCAGACATCTACTGACTTGTTCAGGACCATTGGGTTGGCTTTACTATCCCATTAGGGCCAGGAGACTGGTTATTTCTTCAGTCCTACAATATTTACAATTGCATGGTGCACATGTGTCTCATTAGACTTTTTCATTTAAAAAGCATATTATTGTTTAGCTAACTCTTTAATATGTTGTATGTCCATGATTCTGTTTAATTTGTTTGATGTCATTCAGCCATCGGGGCATCTGAGAACTGTAGCACCTTGACATACTGTGGAACTGGACCTAATTCAGAACCAGAGTCAGCTGCTGTAGCAGACCTTGTGGGAAGCCTCAAATCTGAGATCTTGTGCTTCCTGACCATTCACTCGTACAGCCAATTAATTCTACTTCCATATGGTTATACCAAAGACCCATCCAAAAACCATGAAGAAATGGTAAGATTATTTTAATTCTTGAAAGTAGCCAAATCATTACTGGAGGTAATTTTATGAAATATTAGATCTGATAAGTTATAAATAATGTGTGGAGTATGAATAGACCCATTATCTGATCAGATTTATTCTACAATAATAAAAAAAAAAACTGATTACATCTTTATCAACCAGTGCTGTAGTTGATTGAATTGTCTTTTTGCATTCCATGACTAAAAACATAAAAATGTTTCTTCACACCTTGTGTCTCACTGCACCACCTGACCCAATTTTGTGTCTCTTTGTACCCATTCACCCCTTTTTCTGTATCTCCTTACTCACTTTCTTACTTTTATGTCTCTACTTGCACACTTAGTCTTTTATGTCTCACATTACCCCCCTCAGCCCATTTTGTGTCTCTTCCTGTTTTAATACCACATTTGCAACTCTCCTTTCTCTACCTTAATGAACCCTTTTATGTTTCTTTTCTTTTCTGCTAACCTAGGTTTGTGTCTCGCTTTATCCCTCACCCACTAGCATATTCCCTTTGTCTAGTGAAAATCCGCTGAAATTGTCATCTCTTAATTAGACACTATAACTTCTCAAAACCTGAAAATGTCCATATGGGGGTTATCATGGGGAAAGCAGCAGAATAGAAATATTGCTTCTTTAGAGAAGTGGAGCACAATTTTTGCTTTGTTAGAGGATAGTGATAAATGATAAAATATAGAAATTATACTTTTGTATACTATTTCTAGATCCAGTGAACATTATCACACTTAGAGTCCCTGTATAAAACTTAGCAAATGTTTATATTTAAAAAACAATTTTTTACTACGTATTTGCAACATATTCACTATAACTTCTAGACATGTGAGGTGTATACCTAATCAAAACTAAGAAATACATCTATTGTGGTTTCTTTTCTATAGCTGTACTGGTTGCGTATTAATTATTATATATTTTTTTATTCAGACATACCCAAAATGTATGGGTGCACTTAACACCAAGTATGAAAGTATGGTGGAACAAACACATAGCAATAACACCAGAACAGCTCAAGTCACAAATGCAGTGAATTCTGGGATAATCCCACTTACTAAGAAGTTAAATATTAAGTATGGCTGTTAAGTGAAGTCATGTACTTCACAAATGTATTTCCATATAGATTAAAGGAGGGACTATCCTGAATTTGGACAGAAAGGAACACTATTTAGCCCCCTGCCCTCCCCACCTCCCGTAACCCCTTAAGGACCAAACTTCTGGAATAAAAGGGAATCATGATATGTCACACATGTCATGTGTCCTTAAGGGGTTAAATAGGGTAAAAACTCAACTTATTTCCACCACCAGCTTTTGGCTTTGCCTCCTTGACTGACATCATCAGAATTGATGATTTCAGCCAATCACAATGATTTTCCATAGGAAAGCATTATATTGCCTAAGACTGCCAATGAGGTGGACCGGAGGTGGGGCCAAACGCTCCGCTGGTCAATCAACATGTCCTCAT